AAATTAATATATATAGAATGTCTCATATATCTGTTAATTTTTTTACTGATAACCAATCTAATGAAGATGTGTGCATTGACAAAATTTTAGAGTATTCAAATGAATTTGAAAATAAGATTTCTAATTTTGATAAAAATACATGTGAAGAACAGTGTGATAAATGCTATTCATTAAATAAATATATAAAGGAAATAAAAAATTATTTAAATGAGTGTACAGATCATTTTTTCTATCAGATATATAGAGATATAATAAAGTTTTATGATCAAAAATGTGTTAATGCATCAAAATTTAGTGCAGATACGGAAGCTCATGATGAAAATTTTGATAAAATAGAAGTGAAAAAAAATAAGTGTCATGAAGGATGTAAAATCGAAATACAAGCAACAGAAGAAGCTAAATCACACTCAACATCTGAATCAGACTCGTCTAAAGTCATAATATCAGAAGGAGAGCATTTCCCAAGAACAAGTGAGGAACAATTACGTCATAAAGTATCAGGTAATAAAACCATAGATTCTCAAGATCAACAGGGCCTCCATGTTTCAGGTGATTCTGTTGAAAATGGAGATAATCCACATGAATTATTAGATAATAATCTGCTTAACAGAATTTCCCCTGCAGAACCATCGACAAGACATTTATCTTCCTCAGACCATGGATTAAATAGTAAATTGGATTCGAAAGCAGATGCATCATCTGAAAAATCTAACCTTGAAAATGAAACTTTTACAATTATTACTCCTCGAGAAAATGGCTTAGAAACAAGTCATCATCAAGGAAAGCAACAAGATGAGGAAGATACAAATAGTAATCCCTATAATATGCAATCCATTGATCATGAAGATGTTGTAAGAGGAAACTCTGATCATTTGTGCCCTCCTGAAGAATCTTCTCTTTCAAGAAAAAATAGAGTCGAAGCTGTTCATGCAGACAGTGGCGGCTTATCTGATACCGGAGTAGGAGTTAATACAGAAAACCTCGGCGATGAACCCACGGATGTATTTTCCGGTGACAGAACTCCCATTCATGTAAAATCTATAGACTTAACTCATGGTGGTGAACATTCTAGAAGTAATGATTCATGTGCCAAGAATATTTGTGATGACCATACTATGAATGATGTTATTGATAGTAAAACTAAAAATGGTATACATTATATTAATGAAATTGGTGACAGTAAAAAAAATTAAAATGAAGTAACAAAAAATGAGGAAGCTCTCTCTGTAGTTAATAATACTTCCTCTCATATTAATCAGAGGTCTTCTGTATTTACTGTTAATGTCTCGTGAGTATTCCAAAGAATGTGCTAAAACTTCCACTTTTAATAATGTATCAGTTAATGATACAGATTGTGTGTCACATAATGATAAAAATAAACTTTCTATGGAATTTTTTTTGCAGAAATGCAGGAAAATGGTTATACTGATAATGTACAACATGTTCAAAAAAATGTTGACGCTTCAATTGGGCAAGTTAACGAAGTCGAAATAAACCTAACCTATACAACCAATAATGTGGAGCATTCAAATAAAAAACATATAGGTACGGAACAATAAATTCAGGTAATTATTTCGCGTCTTAGCTCGGAAATATCGATACAGAGTTAGGCTAGTTCTAACGGTCGTGATAATTCATAACTAACTTCATCTTCAAAAAACATCCTTTCGTGTCAGCTTATATTATCCCACCAAGGGAATATACATGAACAGTTAAATATACTTCCTTTGCCCACGTAAACTAATATACGTT